TGCGTGATATATGGGTGGGTGATATATGGGTGTGTGATATATGGGTGCCAACTGTAGCTGCCAAAATGAACTTATCACTCCTGCTACACGACGCTGAGAGTCATTGAAACAGTGTGTCCCCAGTCCACACCCAAAGCTCCTGCTCATCGCTTTATTCTGTCACTGTGAGCTCTGCTTATTGAGAAGCTGCAGTGAAGTGAAATCATGTGCAGTGTGTCCTGCAGCGTCTGCCCAGTCTGATTTCCCACATCAGAACCGCTGCTCGGCAGAAGGCGGCGAAGCAGCGGGTGTCAGGGTCTCCTGTCCAACCACAGCTCTAAGCCAGAAGCCAAGGCCGTCGATGCGAGACCAGACAGAGGTGACAGACACGCTCTTCAGCAAGATGCTGGGGGTGGCTCCCAAGGCTGTGTTCTCCTCCTCTTCCTCCTTCCTTGGATCCAGAGATCTTGGGACCTCAAGATTGGAAGCCCCTGATCCTTCCCTCTGACATCCGGTGGGGAAAACCCTTGCAGGAGCTGAGACCCTGCTCCTAAAGAGTGCACAGCACTTAGCACCCATGCAACTGTAGGGCCTGGACCCCAGACAGGGGAAAACCTACCTCCAAAGAGAAATAAGGTCCCAGTGAGCAGCAGGAGGAGGTGGGCTCGGAGAAGGAAGCTCAGGAACCCGGTCATTCCCCCAAACACCATCACAATCAGGCTAAGTGGCAACAAGATCACAAATGTTCCATGCATAGCTAGAGAGAAGAGGGGGACCAGGTACAGGGGGTTATTAACATCCATGATTCAATCATTTATGTACATTTACCATGTACCCACAATAGTAGGGACACCACAAGGACTTCTATTGATAAAAGAACAGTGGAGACAGACGCCTGTGTGCATGTTCGGTGTGGTGAGCAGCATTGCACTTACTCTCAGTGACCCCTAGAGGGCAGTGGTGCATTATTATTCTCTCCGTGCCCATCAAGGGCCGGATAGGAGCATGCAAATGAACAAATGAACCTATGAGACACACACCTCGGCTCCTGGGAAATCTAGTTTTCTTCTAGACTGAGAACAGTGGCAAGTGGGGGAGCGGGTGAGAGGGCAGAGGAGATGGAGAAAGGCCGTTTTATAATATCTTTATATCCCCAAATTCTATCTCTGTCCCGGCCCTACCCCCAAATTACAGGTCTCATAAATTCAAGGCACGTGACTCATTTTATCCTGGGTGGGGGTGTGGATCTGATCTCATCCCACATCCCAGAAGAAACTACACACCCAAAAGCCTTTGTGATCTTAATAATAAAATATTGATAACAAATCACACAGGGACCAGAGAGAGAAATGGCTCAGTGGGAAAAGCACTTGCCACATCAGCCTGAATTCTGGATCTCACATAAAGGTGGAAGGAGAGCACCAATTCCACAAAGTTGTCCTCAGGCCTCCCCGTGAAGGCTATGGTACACAAACCCACACACCATGCACACATACATACACACGCTCCATACATATGTGCGCGCACACGCTCTCTCACACACACAATAACAAGATTTTAAGACCCTGCCATAGGGCAGTCTCTGATCATGATCTGGGCATTGACTGTGGCCTGACAATAGTGGACTGGCTGGAAACCCCCCTTTCAGCTTTTGCCCTTGGCCCTTTTGTGTGAGCGCTAGAGTCAAACTCGGGTCCTCGGACTTGTGCAGCAGACACCTGACAAGCCCGCCAGGATGTCTTGAATTATGAGCCCAGCTCCATGGTTCAGAGAAAAAGATAAACAGTTTCCAGACAGTACCCCCTGCGGATGAACTGATAGACTGCACACAGAAATTAGCTTCCAGATCACAGTGCTTCTAGGAGGCACACAATCCCCGAAAGCCGTTAACTCACCCACCCCGACCACAGGCACACGCCAGCACTGAGACAGCTGGGATGCGCGTGTGTCCCTCATTGTCCCAGGCTCTGCTAGCACAGGCTGACACACCGGGGTCTACACCATCATCCGAAAGTCCAGGGGCCGCAGCCAACTAGAGCATGGCTTTGCAAAGATCAGTTTTGTCATCTGTTAAATGGAGAGCCATCAAATACCCCATCCTCTAAGCCTGCGTGTTGAGGACTTAGTAAATAGAAAAAATAAAAACCAACCATCAAGGGGTTGGGAAGATGGCTCCGTCTATTAGGTGCCTGTGTACAAACACACAGACCTGAGTCAGGAACCTTAGCATTTAGAAAAAGTGGGGTGCAGTGACACACATCTGTAACCCCAGTGCTGGGTGCTGGGATGCGGAAAGATGGATTCTTGTCGCTGTTCGACAGTCAGTTAACTGGACTGGGGAGCTTGAGTCGTTGAGAAACTCCGTCTCAAAAAACAAGGTAGAGAGGCCTTTAATCCCAGGGGAGCTCTGTGAGTTCAAGGCCAGCCTGGTCTACAAAGTAAGCTCCAGGACAGCCAGGGCTACACTCAAAACAAACAAACAATAAAAAATTAAGATAGAAAGCAATAAAGGAAGACACCACCAGATATCAACCTCCAGGTCACCCTACAGATTTCAACCCAGTGCTGGAGAGACTTAAGCAGCAACAGGAGTGGGGGACAGTCGTGAAGCCGGGAGACGTGCACAGAGCAAATGAGCAACTCGAGACCCAAGTCAAAACCTGCAGCTTCCAGATCTAATGTCCACCATCTGCATAGCGGAAAGCTCACGGGACAGCTCTGGGGGTGTGGCTTTCTAGGTTCTGGGGGTGTTGCTTGCCTATCATTCGGGAAGCCCTGTGTTCCATCCCCAGAACAAAATAAAACCAGGCATAGTTCTCAAAAACAAAAAAACTTTACCTCCCCTCTTCCCCCCCTCCCACCCCGAGTGAAGAGATGACTCAACAGTTCAGAGGTTGACTGTTCTAGTTGGGTTCAGTCCCAAGCACCCACACAGTCTAACAAACGTTTGTAACTGCAGTTCTAAGGGGGTCCAACAACCTCTTCTCGGCTGCACACAGGTGGTACATAGACAAAAACACCCATCCACATAAAATTTAAAAAATAATAATCTAAAAATAAAACTTTAAACCGGTCATTGTGGTACATGTCCATAATCCCAGCAGTTGGGAGGTAGGGGCAGAAGGATCCGAAATTCAAGGTCATCCTCCGCTACGTAGTTCATCCATGGCCAGCCTGGGCTACATGAGAACCTGCCAAAACAAAAATCGCCAGGGATTCATTTACCAAGTTGTGGAGTCAAGGTGTTGGAAGTCAAGGTTCTTGCCCCACCACAGGGGACAGCCCTTCCTCACCACAGCCTCAGCCGTCTGCAGCAGCAGGTAGCAACCACCATCAGGCATCCCTTGCCTTAGCCTCGCTCCAGGCTCCACCTCCACGCCTGCCTCTTGTCTTTGATTTTCCTCTTCTAAGGACACACTCATCATGTGTGTCATCATAGGCTTCACAGTCCATCACATGAACCCAAGAGGACCTCACCTTGAGATCCTCAACTACATCTGTAGTGTTGCTTTTCCCAAATAAAGTCGATCTCCAGTTCCGGAGCAGGAGACACGGGCAAACCTTTTTATTATTTTTCCTCTTTTTTTAATTGATTTTTGTTGAGTTCTACATTTTTCTCTGCTCCCCTCCCTGCCTCTCCCCTCCCCTTCAACCCTCTCCAAGGTCCCCATGCTCCCAATTTACTCAGGACATCTTGTCTTTTTCTACTTCCCATGTAGATTAGATCCATGTATTTCCCTCTTAGGTCCTCATTATTGCCTAGGTTCTCTGGGATTGTGATTTCTTTGCTTTATGTTTAAAAACCACCTATGAGTGAGTACATGTTTGTCTTTCTGGGTCTGGGTTACCTCACTCAAAATGATGTTTTCTAGCTCCATTGGGCAAACCTTTTTAAATGTATTTCTTTAACATGGGACACACCATGGCGTGTGTGTGGAGGTCAGAGGATAACTTTGTGGAGTCTGTTCTCTCCACCTATACGTGGCAGTGTGCTTTGAATACGAACTGCCCCCTGTCGGCTCGTGGGTTTGAACTTTGACCCTGGATGGTGGCACTGTGTGGGAGGGCTGTGGAACCTTTGGAATATAAAGCCCAACCAGAAGCAGTTGGTCACAGAGATCCAGTGGGCTTGGAGGTTTTACAGCCCAACCCATTTCCCACTCAGCCTTTGCTTCCTCGGCGTGGATGTAGGGTGACCAGCCGGCCTCCTGCTCCTGTCACCATTGCCTTCCTGCCGGCTGCCATGTCTTCCTCAGCATGATGCCCTCAGTCACCTCTGGAACGGTGGAACAAACAAGCCTTTCTGCCCTCAGGTGTCTGTCACGGGTATCCTGTCACAGCCACAGAAACAACTAACACGTGGGCTCTAGGAATGAAACTCAGGTCACAAGGTTTGTGAGGCAAGTGCCCTTCCCAGGCGTGTTTTTGGTTAGCAGCCTCACTTACTGCGCCACCATCCCTTCAGGGATGTACAGTAGAAGCATCCTGTATGCCAAAAGTAGGCGCTCAATAGACGGCGGTGTCATTACAGGATAGATGGTTGTAGGTGTCTCTGTAGAACTAAGTACTATACTGGTCATGGTCGGGATAAGTGTCTACAAAGTTTGCCTCCTCCCCTCCCCCTTAGCTCTATTGTGCAGTGATAGGAGCAGCAGGAACAGAGGCCTGGAGTGAGGTCTGAAGCCGGTTGGGGTGTGTCTTCCAAGGACATGGCAGGACCCTGGCCTTTGTCCCATTCATATATCCCGGCTATTTAGTGAGTAGTTTTTCTCAGTCATGTGTCCCACCAGTGTGATGCCACAGCCCCAAAGTGAGGGGCCCAACTGAAAGTACAGCGTGACCCTCGAAACCATGAACATAAACTTTCGTCCTCACGAGCTGAGCACATCAGGTGTTTGACAAGGGGACGGTGACTAACCCCGCTGAGGAAGCGCAGCAGACGGCGTCACAACATCCTGAAACTGCATGTTCGTTCCTCAGTGCAGCTTTGTGTTCTAGGCGCATCGAGCGTTCTTACAGGCTGCATAATTTTCTCAACTTTATATGTATACACATAAATATCTAGTTGTTCTGCGCCTACACGCCGAGGCTTTTCTCCTCTCTTCTTTCTTATTTTCTGCTTCAAACAAGCAAGACATATCTCTTCCTAGAAACATCACACAGACCACAGATTCTAGAAGCAGAATCAACTCTTTAAATGTTCTGAACATGGAAATGGCTTTCCCTAGGGCCCCAAAAGGCTGCCATCACACCCAAGCCTTCATTCTCCCAAGGACTGAGCCCTGCATTCATCAGCTTTCCGTTGTTGTGGTAAAACATCTGAGAGGAAAACATTACAAAGAAGAAAGGTTGGTTTGGGCTTAGTGCTTCCAAAGTTTCAGTTCATGGTCACCTAGCTCCGTGGCTTTCAAGCTGGTGAGAGGGCAGAAATGTCATAGCAGAGAGGAGATGCTCATCTCTGGGTAACCAGGAAGCAGACAGGGAGAAGGAAGAAGCCAATACAACACACTCTTCAGCCTCTTCCTCCAACCAACTCCACATCCTAAAACTCATCCGGCTCAAACTCACTCATAGATTAGTTCATGGGTGCAGCTAGTGCCTCACCATCTGGGGACCTCTCTGCCCTCACCATCCAGTGACCTCACCATCTGGGAATCTCTCTGCCCTCGCCATCCAGGGACCTCTCTGCCCTGCCATCCGGTGACCTTGCCATCCGGTGACCTTGCCATCCGGGGGCTCTCTCTGCCCTCGCCATCT